GTAGCAATTAGTGTTATACGTTAACTGATATTGGTGAAGGGTTGGCACAGTGGTTTGCACAATGTGCTATTTATCCAGAGACCTAAGTTTGATTCATGGCCATGGCTAACAGTGATGAGTGATATCTGAACTTGTCCTGGGCCTTCCCAGCTACACCAACCCACACTTACCTACATAATGAAGTATGTTAATCATGCCACGTTGACTAACGTTGACTAACGTGGCATGGGGAAGCCTTCATCCAGCAGTGGATTGACAAAGTGCTGTACCTTTTTGTTGCTTGATATTGGCTGCATGTATATGACATGAAATATCAAGCTCTGAGCACGTGTTTGACTTGATACATTGAGACCTCTAAGCAAGCGATCCAAACCTCCAGACCCTATCCCACTCCAGCCCAATTTGCACACAATTGCTCTGATTCATTACGGTTATATACTGGGGGAACAAAAGTAAATTACAATGGTGTAACTTCCGTTTAGGCTGACGTTTTAGTAGATTTCTCTACTCTATAATGAACATTTTCTATACATAAGTCAAGCAGATGAATATTTCCATCTTTTTAAACCTCGTAACTAAAACAAATTGCGATAAGGAGTTTGCTATTCGTAAAAATAAGTGTGTAAGCCTGATCACGCGGTGCTTAATTTGCTTATCAACAGGAGATCAAAAACGACACGGCTCTGCGCTGCACTGGAAATCACCGCTGCACCGGAAATCACCGCTGCACCTTCCGTCGTGTTGATGTTTCCCATTGTAGGGGTCACCCTCCACTTCACAATTGTCCAGCGAACGCATCAGAATAATGGGTTTCCCGGCGGTGTGACGTGACATCCAGCTCTGAGAAGTGCTTCTGCGTCCAAAAAACATTTGCGCTTTCGCGTTTGGGACACCCACTGTTGGGAAACGCAATTACTGGCTCACTTTCAAGATGATTAATCGGCTTTTTTCACAGTTAAATTAAGCTTGTGCTTGCACCTGTTTGTTTGTTTGCCATGTATGTAAAGTTGCAAGTAAGGTAGAGGTAACACAGATAAAGGTACAGCTCTGCAATTGCTTGCCCACAGCACTGCTGACAGAAGGGCCTCTACTCGAGCAGCCACTCTAAAGGGTTTTTTGGCCGACTCTTCTATTCTGCCCAGACAGCTTGGAAGTGGGAGGTGGGATAGCCCACACTTTGCCCCACCACAAGTGACCAACCCGTCAACTAACAGCGGTCTACCCGTTTATAACCGTGGAGTCGTCAGAGGCAGGGGTAATTTAAGAAGCTTGCACCATTGCTTCAACTGGCGTGCTGGGAGATTCGAGTCGAACCGGTGACCTCTGGATTGCCAGTCCAGAGGTCGCACAATGACAACAAAGTATGAATGTGCGGCAATTGTATTTAGGTTTTCTATTGGCACAATTTTCTTAAAATAAACAGATGTTTGGGTTTAGTTTGTTGTCCTTCCACCGCACCTCCGATTAGCACGGATGGCTATATATGGTGTGAAAGAAGTTCACCATATATACATCATGACTGAATGTAGGTAAATACCATGGTATATACTTTTTGATGGTGAGTAATTTTTTACTGCTTGGCAAATTATTAATTTAAAAGCTAGTTATTGCGAAATAAATAATATCCCGTTATATCCAACAAATTATTGCGTATTTGGTCTCAACTGTCGGGTATGGGATCAAGTATACATGAGTGCTCATTTGGCCTATGGCTGACTGTTGCAGTGAGAGCAGTCTTTGTGCGATTGGCCTCAACACATCAAAGGTCCTGTGTGATGTTTTTCTCCCAAGGAACATAGCATCACACACTACTCTGGGTATGCATAGTCAATCTTGTACATGTACACTTAATTGTAAGACCTTTGTTTTACAATATTTACAAGAAAAAATATATTTTGACATGTAAAAAATGTTCATGTCATTTCACTCATATGACATCGGAAAACTATATCGCTTTTCTTTTTGGATAAAGTATAATTTTAGTAACAGTATTCATGCTGTCCTACCAAACAACTGTTTTTATACAGTTGGAAAAGATCACAATTTATGTACGTTTCTATATAGATGTTCTCGTTACAAGGGGACATTTTAAAACTCTTTTGAGAAAACAAGTTGTGCAGTGTGTGGTCAATTTGCCTGGAATGTGCCCTATCACATCGTATCCTGTAAGCTAAGCTGAGTTTGAGCCTGGAGAGTGCTTGGATGAGCTACCGCCGCGCATCAACCATGAAACAAGAGTTGCATGGCTGCTTGCGGCGCTGTTAGAGCAGCAGAGGGCAGTGCATAAAAAAATCCATCACTGTGCTGCACTACGCTGCATTACGCTGCATTGTCTACACACAGTGCTGCACTACGCTGTATTGTCTACATTTCCTCCCACCGTGAACAACCCGCACTGACGAGCGTGATGAAGTACGGTCCAATAACCCCCATGTCCTACACTGTGGGCAGGGGGAGGGGTCCTCATCGAGGAATGGATAGTGACCATGCTTACGTTGGGAACGGTGGCAAGAGGAGATCACAACAACAAGGCACCATTTCCGTGTCCATTTGTTTGTACACCTAGGCCAAGCAGCTGCTAGTGGAAAGTAGACGTTCCGTTTAGCCACGCTTCAATGAATCCTGGTAATGCAACTGGAAAACATGGATTGTAATTATTGTACATTTATATGCAGATTGAGCCTTACAAAGGGAAAATGTCAAAAATTATCCATCGAGCAAATGAGTAATGTAGGGTGTGATCAACATTGCTCCAAGCATTGAAAGACAAATGCATGTGCATGTGAGTTGCATTTTATTTTAAGCACCTCTCGTAGTAATGAGCTCCTGTTTCATTTTGTGGGCAAAATTCGTCATGTAAAAAAAACATAGCACGAGGTCATGATGCTCTGATTGTTCAGCGAAATGTATTTTCGAAGAATTAGTAAAGAAGTATAGAACAAAATTTTGATTTAAAGCTTTCGTGACTGCAGGGATTCATATTCTTGGTTCTTTCGGTAAAGTCACGTAGAAGGGAAACAATAAAATAATAAAAATATAAAACAATAAGAAGTATAGAACTGCATTTAATTTAAGTTTTTATGGAAAATTCGCTGATGTGTCGGATGCCTTCTGACAGAGACACAAGTTACAATCAGAAGCCTGTAAGCTCGTCCTTTTATCATTGAGAATAACTATGTCTGCCTTCTTGGCGAAGCTGACATCGCACCCTGTAAATGATGACAACTGCAAGAACAAATTGTATATGCTATGGTATTTTATCTTATTTTTCGTATGTTTTACGACTGGTGCAGTGGTGTCAGACCTATGATCAAATCACCCAGAATGCACCCAATCTCATAAGACCTCGCAATCCAAGCCGGACGGAGCTTGGAGAGTGCTCGGTGGGGTGACCACCACGCACAACAGATCGGTGCAGTAGGCGTTGTGTGCAGTGAAGTATGGTCAAATATCTCTCATGGCCCACATGTCTTAGAAAAGTTCTTATTATAAGTGGATTGACATGTACATGCAGTGTTCTGAATGCCTGACTCGATCTACTTAACCCTTCTTCCTCCTGTGCCTGATGGAATGAGCACTACTTTGCAGCATGTCAACAACCCTGCCATAAGATAGCGGTGGTAAGATGTTATCTCCCTCGCCTGGTATACAGGAGGTCGTGGGTTAAATTGTGACCCTGGTGCCTGCATATTTGGAGTTTGCATGTCTCTCTCTCTTTGTGGTCACGTGGATTTTTATCCGGGTCCTCTGTTTTTTCCCTCCATATTTAGAATAAACGTCACGCGTTTAGAGGATTTGGCTGCTGGAATTTTCCACGTGATAAGCCACTTCGTTGAGCAATCATTTATGGCCAGGTCGCTTCTGAAAAATAGTTATATAGCTCAGTGGGCCTTACAGGGTTGTGCAGTTGTGGCTGTGAGCAAAATCCGTTATCACGATGAACATTTTAGGTAGATTGACAGGTCACTCATGATGGAGACCAACCGAGACAAGCAGTGATTGACGGACACTTACTGTAACAAGTGATTTTATCTGCAGGCACCTTTATGTGAAATATTTGGAAGTAGCATCACAGAAACTTTCAACAGCAACCCTCCACTTAATGAGTGGCGCCCGGCTCCACTTGATGATCACCGAGGCTTTGGCAATGTCGGAGCTTTCTCTCGCCGGCAGAGTGAACCGCACTCGATCATTGTGATGAATCTCATATTTGTTTATTTAATGTATAAATGGCTCTCTTTGTGATTTATAGAAAGGGGAGAATATTCCTTCTGCTGGCTTTTCATAGATTTTTTGCAGCCCAGGCACAAGATGATGTTAGCAAGAACAAAGCGGGCAAGCCAGAGATAGCAGCGACCACTTATTAACTTTCCTGCGTGTTCCTCTGTCTGATGACACGCATTCGGGGTGTAACAATGCATCAGTTGTTGACAGACACTCTTTAATTACACATTCCTCACATTCTGTGTGCAAGAATTGTTTTCTTACATTTTGTATGGAATGGATTATTTTGTGTCCTACAGGCACTAACTATGGGCAGCTACTTTCATGGTGATAATCATTTTAATGAGTGATGATTATGATTGATAGCGGATGATACATTTTTTGTCTGATATATGATTGATTAAGATTTAGGATTATGGTGATAGAGGATGATGGATGATGATTATTATGGATGGTGGATGATGAAGATTCCATATGATATATGACGATGGATAATAGATAATGATGGATGATGATGACGGAGGGCAATGTGTGACGATGGAATCTGGATGATGTTAACCCCCGGTGGATTCAAATGAAGATGACAGACAAATGGCTATCGATGACGGGTGACGATCGTGACGATCTGAACGACCGCGATTCGAACCCGCAACCTTTCTGTCACAAACACTACGACCGCACCAGGCCCCCAACGACGCCCACCTCTCGTTTCCCTCTCTCTCCACTCTCTTTGCTCTCTCACCTCTCTCCGCTCTCTCCACGCTCCGGCGCGACAGGTGGGGGAGATCCGGGCGCAGGCCGCCGAGTGGAAGGCCAACGTGACGGCCGAGCTGAAGGTGACGCGGCGACGCCTGAGCGTTGAAATCCACGACAAGCTGCAGCGCGCCGCCTCCATCCGCAACCTGGAGCGGCGGCACCGGCTGGGCCCGCACGAGCCTCGCCGCCACTCCATGGACGTGCTGACGGCCGAGCGACGTGCGCCCTCGCGTGCGTCCTTCCTGGCGCTCGCCAACAAGGCTGAATCCGTCGACCGGATTGTGCCTCCCTCGGTGAGTCTACGGATAACTATTTTTTATTTTACCAGGTAAAGGCCCACTGAGCTATATGGCTCTTTTTCAGAAGCAGCCTGGCTTTATAGCAGCAGCCAAACACTGTCGATGCGTAACGTTGATTCTAAACGCGGAGGCAAAAACCGGAGAACCCAGAGAAAAATCCACTCGACCACAGGGAGAGAGAGAGACATGCAAACTCCAAATATACAGCAGCAGGCATCCGGGTCGGGATCGCGCCCACGACCTCCTGTATACCAGGCGAGGGAGCTACCATCTCCGAGACACTACTCCCCGTACCACTGACACCCGAGCGATGCATCGGTCTTCTCGAGCGATGCCTCATTCTTCCCCACTGGAGCATCGGAGCTGCATGCCAGCGCTGCGGCTCGCAGCCTCGGCCCTGAACCAGCGAGGCAACCTTGTCCAAGAAGCCCCATGTTGTTTTTTTCACTGGGAAAGCCGAGCCAGGCAGGCTGATGTCGCTCGATGCGATTGAGTGGGGAGTCGTCTCTAGACGGTGCAGTGAGATTAGGTAATGAAGAGAATATCCGCGTATAGAATCAGTGTATGGTTGATAGTATTGATGACGATTAAGATTAAACACAGTGAGCAACTGAGCTTTAATTCGATTGCAAATTGCAGTGAATTGATCCATTAATCAATATACGCACTTGCATTTCCTGAATCAAGCATAGGCCAACACTGGGAATCTATTCTACCAACAATTTCACCCGATACCAATTCCCATTCATGTTGCTGTGTAGACCTGTCCTATTGCAGGGCATAGCATTGACTCAGATTAGTTTAAGGAATTGATGGCGAAGCAGCTCCTGGCGATGCGGTGTGGATTAAATTGATTCCCAGTTAAGGGGATGCAATGATAATAATTATCCCTGCCCTTGGCCTTGCTAGGCCTAGAGCCAGATTTGGAAGTCTTGTGCGGCCCACATATCACGGTTTTGTTCAAGCTGAACCTGACAGATAGCCATTAGAAAATAACCTGTACCATGAGGGCTCCCTACTGGCTAGGCTTTGACTCGAACGTGGGGGTTGATGGATCATGCTGAGATGGTTCTTGCAAAAGAGACCCTCTTGTTACAGCATGGTGCAATGCGCATGTAGGAAGCGGGACGCCAATTATGGTTCTGTGTGTTTGCAGTGCGAGTGTTTTCTCTGGGCATGTCTATTTTACTACTTATGCAAGGACACTTCCAAGAGGTCAACCAGTGTGGAGATGGAGCATTGAGATCAGTTCACGTGCAGGAGTCAAACTAAACTCAAACGGGTTTTATTTTACCAGGTAAGACCCACTGAACTACAAAGCTTTTTTCAGAAGCGACCTGGCCACAAATAATATCTGAACGAAGTGGCTTGTCTCGTGGACATGTATAGAAGCCAAATACTCGAAACACACATCGATTTTAAATGTGGAGGGAAAACCGGAGGAATAGAGGGAGCGCTATAAAGTGTATTTGGCCTACTCTTCCACGCTCCCCATATTTTGACGCACTCCGTCACTGTTTACCTCTGCAGTTTACTGATCGCAACAACAATCTGCAGTAAACATATTCAAAAGGTATTGTTAGGCTTCTTCACATTTAAAATCAGGCCCTTGTGTCTTGAGGCATTGTGCAAGGTGCCTAATATGAAAAATATCATCATTATTATTATCTGTTCATTTACACTCTTGTATGCTACAACTGCAGCTGTTGCAACCATGATTCACGGTTTTGGATACATTTTATTTCAACCAAAATTACTTCCCCTAGCTTATGCACTTAAAATGACAGTCCATGTATTTGCAAGGACCGTTGATTGAATGCTTAAATGTTACCTTTATAATAGACATTTAAATTGGACACAATTGAACATATTCGAAGTTTTTTGGTCAATACTTTATTTTATCGTAATTGAGCTATCGGCGTCATGTCAGCGAACAGACTGCGGACACTACGGAGCTGCTTCTCAAAATCCCTTCAAGTGACCTCTTATCCTGTTGAGGGGGGGGGGCAGCACCTTCCCACACCCTTGATACAGAGAGTCATGTTTGTCACATGACGATAAAACCAATATTTGTAATTTTCAGAGTTGCAACTTAGCCAAATTAAGTGTAGAACCAGAAGCTAAATCCAGTTTAATCACAGACGGGTGTCTGGATTCGAACCTAGGAGATGCTAACTTGGTTCTGTGACCACTGAGTTGCCCAACCAGGTCGAAGTTTATTTTAAGTTCATTTTATATATATACAAATTGGGGTGAGTTTTCAAAGAAGTTTCTGTAATCTGTTGAAATTTAAAGCGTTAGATAATGATTGATACTAATGATGATGCTTATTATCATGATCAAAATCAAGCATCACCGCTACATCTAATTTGAGTTGATCATGTGTTGACGTACAGATCTTTCACACACAAGCACACACATGCAAAAATATCTCTCCTAGCAAAGTTAGACTGTTTTACGCTATACTAGCAGGCACAATCACTCATCCAATGTAAAGTCAGTAAACTCTTCACCGTGTTTACGTGACCCAGCGTGATCCCTAAGAACTCTTCGGAATGAAACATTGCGTATTGGTGTACAATTTTTACAAAATGGAAGCCATTGGGTAGATTAAACAACAACAACAACCGTCCTTCTATATGTCAACACCACATAGCTTCATATGCTGCCTTGATGTGTTCTGGCTAACATCTTTCATATCTGGTTGTTTAAGCCTTATCAGGAGGAACTCCGTTCAGAAAAGACTTTTAAATGTGTCCCCAGGTATCATCTCATTTCATAAACGCATACATCACACGATTTCAAAATGTTCAATAGCCAGGTAAAGTTATTAATTATGCCATTCAATCATTATGCACAAAGTGTGTTTCCACCTTTAAATGGAGGTTTTGAGACTTAAAGTATGAAATATGTAAAACTATAATTTGGAACACGTCCTTGAGGATCCCCACTGACACGTGAGGAGTGTTGTTTGGTCTGCTCGTCCACACTGGCCAGACATCTTGGAAGAGATTGCAGTACCCACACCTCACCACACCGGAGCTGCCAATTAACTCAGTTCAGTTGGACTCATTTATACTCCTTAGTGGACAGAGGCAGGGGGATGCAAGAAGCCAGCACAATTGTTTCAACGGCCGTGCCTGGAGGTCAAATTCAACCGGTGACCTCTGCATTCCAAGTGCAATGTGTTCACCACCACCCCTAACTAATTGCATACTGTCGTGTAAATGGAAGATCAATGGTTCAGGGAAGTACTTTGGCATCAGAGAGCCAGATAATCCAGTTCCATGCACCAGCGCACAAGACTAGCGAATCCGTTTTCATATTCCGTCAATACTTGGCTTGGCTTTGCAGGCTTGGCTTGCAGCCTCTACTTGTTTTTGTGCTCTTGCACTGGGAATGAACAAGCGACGTGGGACACGGTGCTATGAAGAAGCCAATGGATGTGTGGCGTGCCAATCAATAATAAAAATTTATCTGCACGGCTAGAAATGTCTTGGGTAACCCCACAAATACCGAGTGTATGCCTCGTTTAGTAACCTAATTGCATAAAAGGCAAAATTGGTTTAGAGATGCGGTCTGCTGGTCCCTTGGATAAGGGCACAGAAACATCTGGAGTCATTAACAAAAGCAATGCATTTTTGAGTGCTATTGGGGACAAAGAATAAAGCTTTGGGAGAGGAACGGATTTTCTTTTTTTTATATATATAGCTTACAAAAAATACATAAATTCAGCTCTTTCATACATCATATCAAATGTGCCCACCTTGGGAAGTGCCCTTGTCCATTGGTGGTGTGGTCCACGTGTGGAAATTCAAAATGACTCAAATTAAGTGAACAAGAGAGCAGTCTCGAGTACAGTTGACCTCTTCAAACTCATTTATTCGCGTTTTCTGTGGATGTATCGTCTACACTGCATTGTGTTTGAGCATCGTAATTGGTCCGTAATCACTTCCTTACACTGAGTGATTCTCTTGCTATTACCTTAATCACTCCTTTGTTCTGGTGCCTCGGGACAGGCTGCATGAAAGGCAACATATAAATAATAGATGACAACGATAATCAAATATCTGTGGCATGGAGTAGTCTCGCTGTACAGCAACCAGAGCTGGCGTCCCACTGAGTGGTGGTGCGTACATGGTCCATCGGGTTGGATGAACTCTCGCCCGGAGCATGAACTTGGCGCAATGCCACTTGGCGAGATTCTTTAATTCGTGAATCCCACATTGAAACCTTCAGCGTAAAAACACCCCTATTTTATTTAAACGAATAATGTAACTGCAATGTGCTCGTTGGGAATTATACATTATTTTTTAGAAGGCGAAATTGTTTTTGCGCAGCCCTTGGTCAATCCACTGCTGTATGAGAGCTTTCCCACACTACGAGTCTTCAAGTTATAGACAGGTTGAAGACTTCCTTCCATATATATTTGGTACACTTGTAGATTTGTTTACGTTTCTTCACAGTGAGTTGAGGCCAACCCAATCGCATAAACGTGAATAACTGTGCCCTGGGGAGAAGTAAACAATAATGGGCATGCTCCCCTGCCTGTGTATGTCTGTCTGCGTGCTATGTGTGTGTCTGTCTGTGTGCTATGTGTGTGTCTATCTGCGTGCTATGTGTGTATCTGTCTGCATGCTATGTGTGTGTGTGTGCATACTATGTGTGCTATTTTTGTGTCTGTCTGTGTGCTATAGGGAGCAGTAGTGTAGCGGTTAGCATGCTGCACTAAAATCCCAGCGATCCGAGTTCGATTCCTGCTTATGGCCATCAACACCAGTAACGAATATCTGAACTCGTCCTGGGCCTCCCCTAGATTGACTCAACCTCAAATGAGTACCTGGTTCGGTTTGTAAACATTGCCACTAGGGCGACAAAGGTGGCCGGGCGTGGTAATGACCACCAACCCCCTCCTTGGCCGTGCCGGCCTTCATAGGTGTTCGCTAACAGCACTTGCCCCAAAAGTCTGTTAAGGCTATACGGAGAATCGTTGTCTTTGTCTTGTACAGGAGCTACAGAACGGTGAGGTGCTGCATAAGCCGGCGTCGGGAGAGTCGGTTAACTTCGCCGAGGGCTGCAACGCAGGAGGGAGCGGAGGCAGCATGGGCAGTGGCGACATGAAGCCGTACAGCATCAGGTCGGCGTTCTCACGACGCAGCGATCACCGCGGCATCCTCAAGCACACCCGGTGGCAGCTGCAGCAACAGCAGCAACAGCAACACCAGCAGCAGCGGAATCAGCAGCAGCAAAGTCAGCATAATGTGGACAACAGTTTAGAGAGGGAGAGCGATAGTCAGCAACAGCTGGAGCAACAGCCAACGCCAGACACTGCGCATGGATCCTGCGACAGCTTTGGGATTGGAAACAGCCAGGCACATGCTGATGCTGTCAACCAGGGATGATGAAGCTACACGTGCATTTGGGCAACAACAAAATCAAAACGATACAATGGAAACATTGAGGATTGTGACACACAGCTTTGACGACTTGCTTGAGGCTAAAAAACAATTGTGGTGGTTTCTTGAAGCGATGACGATGACCAAACTGCAAATCGTAAGATGTGCCCGGAAAGTGCAAAAGAGGAGAATAGAAACGTTTAGTTGCAAGGGTGGCATGTTATCTTGCCAAAGCATCGTTTAAATCGGGAACGTATGTTCCACTGAAGACTCATCAAATTGATTATATTTGATTTTTTTTCAAACGCCTCCTAATGCGAATAAAAATGCCGCTATGCACAATGGCAAAAACCATGAAGAGTTTTAAATAGGTAGACAAGCGAGGACTTTGCTAATACCTACACCGAATGGTGAATGGGAGAAAATTTGCCAAAATACTATTATACATTTTGAAATAAATAATATGAAATGAGCATGTCAGCATTGTGCCTCCATGCTGCGTACGAGGTCAACCGTTTGTCTTCAGTTATGAAAATGTGTCGTGTCGTTATCTGGACAACTGGAATATGTTGTAATCCATTATTCAAATATATGTTGAACAAATATTGTGCCTGCTTACAAAAAAATGAGATTTAAAGATGTATGTCAAAAATATACTTATTTTATTATAAACCCCTCTGTCAATAAATTATCATGAACTAAATCACATGTAGGCTGCCTCTGAGCTCCTTACTGGGCCTCATGGAAGGGAGCGGAGTAGCCTTGCAATCGCACTCCGTGCCACTGCTGGTGTGGGTCATCCGCCAGAGAGAGCACTTGGGACTCGCCGCTCCCATAGTGTATTTTGCCTACTCTTCCATGCAATGCAAGCGTCTTGGAAGCGGTGAGAGTAACCGCACTTTACCCCACTACACGTGACCAGCCGATGGACTGTGGTGAACCCATTTATACTGCTGCTGGGGTGGGGGGGGGGGAGGAGTTGTTTCAGAAACATACTTATTGGTGTGCCGGAGAAGAGGCATTTCAGAAGGAAAACGTTAAACATTGACGTTCTTTGCTTCGTAATATGAAGCAGAGCAGAACACACATACTCTTTGGTTCTTTCGGTAAAGTCACATAGGTATAAAATAAAATAAATCACGACGTTTCAGTCGCAACACAAGCGTCCATCATGAGGTCGTTTCTCACCTGATGATGGACGCTTGTGTTGCGACCGAAACGTCGTGATTTATTTTATTTTATATCTACGTGACTTTACCGAGGAACCAAAGAGTATGGATTCCTGCAGTGGAATTGGAGACATTTTTATGAGATGACCTGCAAGATTATTTTAATGGCTACCTTTTTAAATTACCAAAATAGTTAAATTTATACTTAAAAAAAATCAAAAATAGCTGTAAAATCTTATAGAAAACTATAGAAGCCTTGTGCAATTCCTTCATCGCTCTTTCAGGTACTTAAAGGAATTTGGGTCACAAAGACCACAACTGATGTAGGTGCACGCCTAGGCGCTTTGTTCCTGGGTGCGGGACATGCATACGAAGCTTTGTAAATGGGGTACAAGGGCTGCTGCCACGGTGTAATGGATAACATTACACCGTGGACTTGCAATGCAGAGGTCGCCAGATTATTTCGATCTCCAGGCACGGCACTAGAAACAAATGGATACATTTTTTAAATCCCCCAAACAGTACAAATAGGTAAACCACAGTTGATTGGCAGGTCGCGTGTGGTGGTGGGGTAAAGTGTGAGTACTCCCACCTCTTCCAGGCCGTCTGTCCAGCATGGCTGAGTAGGCCAAATAGCATCTGGAGAGGCTCTGTAAAGTTCCCTCGAATGGGGAGATCCGACCGCCAGTGGTGGCATGAGCAAGCAATTGCAGGACTGGCACCTTTATCTGTTGAGAAGAAAATACTTTAGTCTGGAGCACACTCAACTGATGTCTGCAGCATCACCTCCAGAACGTCACTGCGGTGACCGTGGCTACAGTGCTTACTTTCTCATAGAGCGTTAGTTAAACTCTTGCCAGACAGCCTGTGGCTTATAGCCTAAGCGTGTATCTATAAGGAAGAGTGCACTTGTTTCCCGTGTTGAAACTTCATTTAAATGTAGTTCTTCAAACATCTTTTCCAATTAGGTATTTTATTCATTGAGCAGAACTAGCAAGATTCATAATCCTGCAGAGTGGCCAACCAAAATCGGCATGCACCACGCACATTAAATAGTTTTTTTTCCCCTTGGCAGAGGTAATTCGCCGTGAATTTGGTGGTATTTTTTTCCAAACGCTCATTAATTATGTTCACAAAGACAGCCCAGGTTGTCTTTTATGAGTAGATACACTCAAGCTTGTGATTATCAGGGGAAGTCGCCGCCGCCGTTGCTTGCATTGTTAATGTATTTCGCCTCTACAATTCATTCCCCGTGTGGGTTAAAAATCATCATATTGTCCGGACAAGCCGTGGCCACACACCAGTTTCCTGGAAAACGACCCACGCACATCCTAAAACCACAATTGTAAAGCATGCCATTTACAATCATTAATTCAAGTTCATTTAAACAAAAAAATTAGTTAATTTGATCCACTGCAGAGTTGAAATAATTTGAAGGATGGATTTTGGACATGATAGAATGTTTTTGATTTAAAGCTTTCGTGACTGCAGTGATTCATATTCTTGGTTCTTTCGGTAAAGTCACGTTGAAGGGAAACAATAAAATAATATATAAAATATTATTGTTTTATATATTTTGTATTATTTTATTGTTTCCCTTCAACGTGACTTTACCGAAAGAACCAAGAATATGATAGAATGTGTGGTAAGCAGGTTGCTTTTCTGAGAGACATCACCTGTGTCCATAATGCACCTTTGTGTACCACTAACCATTTGTTGTGGTTTAATTAAATATACGCATCCTGTATTACCTGGATTATAAGACGAATATATTATCCCTGTCTTTTAGTTGGGGATACATCTTACAATCCAAAGAATACATGTACCTTCGAGCAGATGTGTTTTAATATAGTTGCTCAGAATCGTCTGCCAGAAGACGGTTCTCCACAGAAAACATTACCACCTCGAGGGCAAAAGACCAACCACCAGCAGAAACATTTTCCAGAAGCCATTTTAAAGCAGCTCATTCATAATAATCTTATGAAAGACGGCACTCGATTGCAATACCGTATTTTCCTGATTATTAAACGCACTTTTTTTGTTCAAAATAACCCCAAATTTTGGAGTGCATCTTGGTGTGTGCATCTCGCTACTCTCCGGTGCGTTTTATAATCCGAAGATTGCGGTGCGTGCAAAAAACCTTCCAGTTTAAAATTGTAGGGCATTTGCATTTGCCATAGCAAGCCAGTACACACTGGTCACGTGGTGTTGTTTGTTGCTCTAAATGTCTCGGTGTTTTCCACACAATAATACAACAAACGGAAAGTCGCGTTTTGATGTACATGTGTCCCGCTGGAGGATTTTCATAATACTGTATTGGGATCTTAAAATACAATTTCAGCACTGCTGAAAACCCATGAGCCTAGTCCAACAAACGTGGTGTAGCAATGCAAATGTGTTTATTATGTTAATGGTAGCCAGGCTTAATGCGCCCTAGGGTGGAGTGAAGTGCTTCAGAGAAGAGATACGGTACAAGATACAACATCACTTATCTGACCTGATGGACACCAATGTCTAGGAAGGTATGTGTCGAATTTGTGAACATTTGCAGACAATTATTTGCTATTCCATGCACAGATATTGAATTGCGTGTGGGCGGTTAAATGGTCAGGGCGGATATGTGATGGTCAGATATGTGACACTGAAATAGTAGGCTGCTGTAAAATTTAAGAAAAGAGGTTTTATTTTTGTTATTGAAGGAACAAAGATATTGACACAGCAAACATTTAAACCAAAATACAAATAGAAAAGTACATATTGAAATTAATTACCCGGTGATTATTTTCCAAAGAATCTGCATCGCATGTATGCAGTGTAGTGTTAAACGTTTGTGAGCTTTCTATTCGTTTCACTTGTGCTCTCTTAGATGCACTTTACTTGACCACCTTCACCAATACTTTCAAAGCTCATCTCATTTTCTATGCGTAAGTGTTTGCCCAGAAAGACACTCCTGGAGTTGGACCACCGAACGCACAGCCCAACTATAATAATAATCAACGTCGATTGGCCGGATAACGAATCAAATTTTGTGGTAGCAGTCCATCTTCACGAACGGCTTACTCAGCGAATGTAAATGCATTTCTAGTTGCCTTTTGCATCTGGGTAGAGAATAACTCTGTGCTGTGTGACTCCGTAAAACAGGGACAGCAAGGTAGAGTTTGGTGATGCTGGCCCGAGTGGAAGAAGTGAGGCTTCTAAAGTTTTATTCGAGTGAGTTGCCTATCAGTTGAGTCTGCCAGAATGCGCCCGATCTCGTCAGGTTTCGGAAGCTAAACAGGATTGAGCCTGGATGGATAACCACTATGCATACCAGGTAGTATAGACTGTGGGGATGCATAACGGGCAGCAGAGGATACTGCAACAAAATACATTGTTGTACTGTACTTCTGTGCTTCCACATCTATGCTCCACGCCCTGACCCACCCGCACTGGCCAGCGGGGTGAAGTATGATCAAGTAACCCCCCATGACTCGCTTGGCAAGAGGAAGCGCCCTCATCTAGTAGTGGATCAACAAAGGGCTGTACATGTGCGAGTGACTGATTCTAAAATCATTAATTACTGATGATTTTGACATGAAAATGTGATAAATGTGCGTTATAAGTCCTGGTATAATTATATTCTTGCTTTTTATACATGTGTTGAGTGCCTAATTTTAATGGGAGTTTAGCCGGGGGGGGGGGGGGCATTGTTTGGGAAGGATGCTGTACACTTTAAAACACTTTTATGCAAGTGTAAGTACTCATTTCCACGTTAGCATAACATCACGATGCTGCAGAGACCGTTGGACCAAAACTCTTGCCACAGCCATTGCTCGGGGCAACGTCATGGTTGGATTGGGTCAGCAGGCCACCAAACATTTGCTCGGGGCAATGTCATGGTTGGACTGGGTTAGCAGGCCACCAAAGCATTTGCTCGGGGTAACGCCATGGTTGGACTGGGTTAGCAGGCCACCAAAGCATTTGCTCGGGGTAACGCCATGGTTGAACTGGGTCAGCAGGCCACCAAAGCATTTGCTCGGGGCAACGCCATGGTTGGACTGGGTCAGGCCACCAAAGCATTTGCCCAGTTTTTCAGTTCTGGAGTGGTTGGCCACCACTCACAGTTTCACAACCCAAATAAAAGCTCCACTTCAATCGGCTGAAGAATGAATTGTTCACATTGGGTCGAGCGTGTGGCGAGCCCAACTCCAGGACCGGCTTTAGCACGGCAATTGTAAACGCATCTTAATTTTTATTTTGCATCGAGGTAAATAGTTACAAAAAAATGTGAATTATGGTCCATAAAGCCCTCATGATCAACGTGGTGTTAGATTGGCCTTCATGCAGCTGTGGCTTTATAAAGGGCTATACTTTACACACAGAGATGTGTTTGATCATCTAAAGCAGGGACACCTGAGTGGAAGTAGATGTATGTTGGCCCAAGACCATTGGATTGTCTTTG